AACAGTGAGGGACCCCACACCAGGCAGGTCAATTCAGGGAAGCCTAGCGTGTACAGGGGTTCAATCAAAAAGATCTGAGAGGGCACAAGGACGTGATTTAAACACAAAATCAGGAATTTGTTTGACTAGTCTCACTTGGCCTATGAGAATATTCTTACTTCTATTATTCCAGATATGTTAATTTTCTACTTTTTTTTTTTTTTCCCTCCTGAATCCTCCGCTACCCTCTGGTCAAGACCCAAAGGCTATCTCGGCCAGGAAACCGTCCTGGGGAACTTCTGTAGAAATCTCACTATTGGGCTATGTGTCTACAGATGCAAAACAAACAAACAAGAATAACTATAGTAATGTGAGATTATCTAAAGGGTGAAAAACTTAGTGTTCAACCTTGATCCTACAAGAATAATAATAAAAAGGAAAATCTAGGCAGCTAAACCTATAAAATCAGGTAGTCTGATATGTCTAGCCACCACCACCGACTTTCTGGCTCAAAATGTAATTTGAGTGCAAAAACCAGCAGGTGCAGAAGTGAGTAGTTTGAAGCTTTCACTGAACTTGATTAAGACATGTAGGAGGATTTTCCACTAGCTGCTTTTATGGGCTAATTCAGCTTAGGATGTTTGCTTCTTAAATGCTGAGTCTTGCTTACAAAGCTGCAAAAGATGATGCATCTTTTTTAGCTCATTGGATCATCAGCTAGTTATTCTATCACAAGTATAATAGGTGTATCAGAAACATCATTCGCAATACCAGAAATGAGCTGGATTTGTCTCTTGCTTTTGGAAATTATCACTTAGAATATTTTTTATTTCTTCCTCATGAACAGAATTATAGAAATGGCCATAAGCACACTGGGAATTTTTTCCACTTGCTTTGAATTGTTATGCTCTAAGCTAGCGTAAGCTACTGTGTCCCAGCTGGGCAATGTTCTGGGACAAGTGAAAACCATGAAGCCTATTTTGATCTGGATGTATGGTTACACCACTGTAGTATACTGCATAAAAATCATCTCTGGTCATAAAGATGCCCATTTAAATGGCCTAGACAGTTTTTCTTACATAAAGCTCATGATGTGTCACTCACATATTTGTCTTTGTCCTCCCACAGGACAGAAAGAAAATACATCTGAAAAACAAAAGTGTACTTTTCCAGCAGGATTTTAAGGGGAAAAGCCTGTCTGCCAGACTACAGTGAAGTACCCTCCAGGCTCCACGCACACCGACATATTCCCCTGGATCAGTAACACTGCTGGTTAGTCTTGCTCTTACTAAGAAGGCTCACACACAACTTCAACAATGAATTTCCTCCGAAGGCGTCTCTCAGACAGTAGTTTTGTGGCAAATTTGCCCAATGGCTACATGATGGACCTGCAGCGCCCTGACAACTCCACTAGCTCTCCAGCTTCTCCTGCCATGGAGAGAAAGCACCCGCAGCCACCGCAGCCATCCCACTCTTCCTCTCCTGGCACCAGCATCTTCAGCTCCATCTCTAGCGCCATGAAGCAAACCACACAAGCTGCCGCAGGGCTAATCGATCATTCGGCCAGCCCCACACCACCCGTGGCCCAGAAACCAAAGATCCTCTTGGTGATCGATGATGCACACACAGACTGGTAAGTCACCGCAGTCCTGCCTGCCACCCTCATCTCCACCAAGCTTGGGGGAGGAGAGGGATCAGGAGGCACAAGCAGTCTTTAGGGGAGTGCACAGATGCTTTCACATCCAGACCACCAGCTCTGGCCCCAGACTGGTTTCTGTTCAGTGACCCCTGTAAATGTCGGAGTAGGTTTGATCTTGCTGGAAAAAAAATGTCTGTTTGGCACTGATTGACAAATTCCTCGACAGCCTCATATGTACATGAACATACATAGAGCATTCACAGCTCAGGAGACTTAGCAGAGCTGTCACAAGTGAAATGGTCCTAAGAGATCGTGGCTGAAGTTGTGTTAATGACATACTGCAGAAGCTCATGGAGACACATAGATGTCTATGTTGGCTCTGTAAATGAAAAGGGACTCTGCAGTTCTTTTTCTCCTGAGCTTTTCCCAGTATGCATATTTATACACAAATTAATGAAAAATAACCCAAGCATTATATCACTAATAATAATGACTTGAACTCATAAGCAGAACATGAGCTGAGCCCTTTAACTGCAAATCATACTGGCTATTGGCAAAAGGCTCTGGAGCTCAGCTGAGCCTTGAGTTTGTCTTTTTTGAACAGCTCTCTGTTTAGGAACAGAGTCTGGTAGTTTGTTTGTTGTGAGATTTGACAGCAGAGGACCATTTCTAAAAGCCTTGTAGGACAACTGAAGCTTTCAAAAATACAGAAGTGACCTACAGCCTGCAGCATGGTCAAAGTCAACCAATCTAGAAAGCTTTAGGCAAGCTGGCCAAGCGACCTATTTTAGAGAATGCCCATAGCATGGGCTGAGGAGACACCATGTTTAATCTGCCAGCTTGTGTCAACACAGCTGCGAGAAATTGTCACTGGCCCTCAGAGTTCAGCAAAATGGAAATGGTAGCACTGGCAAGGGGAACATACAAAAGATCTGTCAAAGTGAAAGAAAGATGGGTTACTAGGTCGTAGCTGAAGGAAGTAATTTTATTTTCCTTCTGCTCCATTCTTCTTAATAAAGAATGGAGTCATTGGTCATCTTTGCCTTCCCAGGAGACTGGGAACAAGATGGGACCTGCCTCCTGGGGTATCCTCGCAAGGCAGAAGTGCTGCACTCCACTTTACTCCCTTCCCTTAGCACCCAGGGGTGCTGACACTGTACAGATAGGTCAGGTTGCTTTGGCCAACTTGAACTGGGAGGGAGGGAAAAACATGAAGGAAAACTGTGGGATTCTTTTTTTTTTTTTTTTCCAAAGGAAAAGCAACTATTTTAACCGGATGGGGAAGTCACTAGTAAGATGATCAATGCATCATATGCTCCATCAGCCTAGTATCTTTTGTCAGAGCAGCAGTGTCCTAGAAAAGATCAGCTAAAGCAGTGTGGATTGAAGAGCCCCCAGCTGAACCCTGTCCTGGCTGTACCTGCACATCCTACAGCAAGCGGGTGCTCACTGACCCCTGCCTCCGCTTTACTTTTTTGCAGTTCCTTGAAGATGCTGCCAGGTGGCAGTCCCTTAACACAGCATCCTCCTGCTGGGAAAGGGGAGAGGCTCCAGTGCACAGCTCCAGTGTCTGGGTCTCAGCCAGCATTACTTAGACCAAACACTGTAATCAGAGAGAAAAGCACTAGCTCAAAGGCCAGTCTGGTTTTTTCTTGAGATTAATGGTGACTGGGCAGGAGGGGCAAGGACATGCAGGGTTTGGAGTCTCTTGCAGCACTTCCATGATTTAACATACATACTGCCTTGAAATCCTTGCCTTTATATGTCCCAGCTGCTGTTCTGTCATGCAGACTTCATGGTGTGTGAACTGAGTTTGCCCAAGGAGCAGCAGCTGGGAGATGTAAAGATGAGGCATGGCTTTTCGTGCTGTCTTCACTCCTCAGCTTGTGTGTAAGCACTCGGCACATCCCGCTGTCTGGGCTATCCCTCTCCTATCTGTAACTCAGCAGTTTTTACATGTGACAAGGGAGACCCTTTTCACTCCTTCCAGCTCTCTGCCTCCACCCAAAGGCTTGCAAATATTAAACAATACTGTTTGCAAAGGCTCCCTGCTTTTGCTCTAAGATTTTGAGGGCACCAAACAAAACCCATGTTCACGTTCACAAGAGTGTCACAACACATGTATGATGCAGAAGACAAGGAAATAACATCACTAACCTTTGTCTACCACAGATTCCCATAGCTCCCTGTGGCACGGATGAAAACGCGTGCTTAGGTTAGAAGCAATCACAACCTGGAGACAACATGTAGTCCTTTCTGAGGAAGCATACCTGGGCAATCACTCCAGTGGGCCAGGGCTGCTACTTACCTTCTTTTTCTGAAATAGTTAACTTGACTATAAAAAATGCCCAAGGAATAACAACTGAAGAGATGCATTTGTTTTAAGAGGAGTACTCCGCAATTCTTCCTTCCCCATAACAAGTTAAACAGAATATACAACAAGGAGTAACTTGCTCACAGACCGGAAGAGCAAGAGACAGTGCAATCTGCCACTTGATTTCTCTTTTGTAAATGAAAACTTTCTCATAATTGGATATTGTAGCAATATTGCCAAGCCTAACATGAATTTATCATCACTGTTTGTATTACAGCAGGGACAAAGAGCTGCAACTACAGATTAGGACTAGGTGTTGCACAAGTGCAGGCTGAAAAGATCTAGCAACCTAAATAGGAGAGTGCTTGATGAATGTGCTTTAAAAATAGAAAGAAATGTCATTTGTCACCTTAAGGAGCTATTTGGTCTGCTGATAGCACAGTATAGCATTCAGCCTCTGCCAGGGATCTCGAGGAAGTGAAGAGCACCCATGGGAACATGTGGCCTATCCTCCTCTGTAAAATCCCTGCCACTCCTGACACGAAGTATGCGCTGCTTAATTCCAAAGACAAAATACCATGAAAATAATGTGAGCCCTACACAACATAATCAGCTGCTTTCTGCATTAGCAGAAGTAAAATAAAGGTGCATTCTATTAAAAGCAAAGGAACTGACCCAGCTTTTTGTTAAGCTAGCAATATTTGACAAATTTTCCATTTTTCTGCAAGACCTCGCTCTAGCACATTTCATAGAAGCATGCAGTCAATCTGCCACATACAGGATGTGCACCAGAGGAAAACCCTCTCACTACAGCTCCTTCGTTCCCTTGTCTTGGACCAGCAGCCTGCTGAGGTGAATATATCGGTGCATTCTCACATTAAAGAAAAAGCTTGGTCTTTCTCCTGTCATTAGTGGTGCAGAACAAGGCAGCTCCTCATGGGGCCACAAGACAGGCCATGGCAGAACTCCATGTAACAGCTGAGCAGCCAGCTCCAGCACCCTGACCTCATCAAGGAGGAAAACATCCCACCGCTGGCAGCCTTCTTGCCCAGAGCACTGCTAAGTCAAATCATGCTCTTGCTGGGCTGAATTTCTCAGCAGATCAAATAGGATTTGGAACTGCAAATTGTTAACCCCCATCATCTGCAAAAGAGCTCGGCTTTCAAGCCTAATGCTCCTGGTTTAAACCACGTATTTGAGAAGTGATCATGCGTAGCCTAGGCTCCCAGTAACGCCACATGCTAAAAACATTGTGTTTTGGATCAGACAGAGCTACAAAGCCCTTGGATAGTTGCATCTGCTAACTACCTCATGTCATTTTCAGAGTTATTGGTGTGTTTTGCCCAATTTTGAGGTTCTTTCAAATGCTATCAGTGTTATATGTTGCCTTGCACAAAATGCATGTGCTTCAGGCAAATTAGGGCTGTGCCATGCTCCACTATGGAGATTTTAAAAGAGAGAAAATTGCACTGCTGTTTTCTCACTTTATAGCTAAAGCTGAGTAAACATAGTGTCTACAACAGTATCAGAAGTGAAGGAAGAGAAAAAATATGATTAATACTTAATGAAATCCTCCTAAAAGCGTGTAAAATAGTTCTTTGTCTCATAATTTTGATGCAATTATGGACTGACCTGACAGGATTACCATGTTTCACTGCAGGGAGAAAGTAGTCCACTCTTTCTTATTAAAATAAAACAAGTTTTACTTTTGACAATATTGAGCCTTAAAGATGTATTTGTCAAAAAATGTCTCTGGTGAAATATTAATATTGAATTCAGTCTAATACTGAATTTCACTAATTTAGGGTTTTTCAAAGCCCTACTTTATTCTCAAAGAATTGCTTTTCAAAAACACTCTTCAAATATCATAAATTATTTCATACTTTCAGTAGATTGAAGATGATTTACTAAGGCTCACATTCATAGACCTAATTCATTGAAATAAAATGGAAAGAGACTGACTAGCTTTTGGATTTGAACTTAATTATCCAGAGTGGATGCTTCAGATTTGTCCTCAAGAGTCTGCAGGTTAAAATGCAAAGTTTTGTCTGTGTTTTCTGATAAGAAGACAAAAAAACACCCAATATGGCAGTAACTGACAATAAATAATTATGAGCTAGCTTTTATTACACAGGGGGTGACATTCTTAGGTTTCAGAAATTCTATGACATTATGCAGCTTTAATTTGGAAAACTTGCAAGGGAAATTTATGTTTTCACAAATCTGTCATTAAAACATACATTTTTGTTATTTACTGTGTCTAGCCAGGACTGAATATTTCTGTGAGTTAGGGACAAAGTTCCAGTCTGGGAAAAAGGCAGACACATTTGTGTCTTGGAGTGTGTGTGTATATAAAACAAAATAGATGCTTGGAAGAAGCAAGAAGGTTTTGAGAATTAGCCATATTCCCTAATATAGGAATAGGGGGTAAGAAGGAGGTAAGTCTGTCAGAGGTACTCAGTAAGCTGCATTTATCACATAGTTCTTCGGTCTGTTTTAGGTATATTACCATCATGTCTGTCTGTATTTTTGTCCTGTGTATGTAAAGCAACTTGGGATCTAGTCCTGAATGAAAGGTGATACAGAAATGTAAAGGATTAGTATCATTACAAAAATAGACACAAGGAATATGGAAAACATTCCTCACCAGGTTATAAATATGTTAATGCAAGTCAATTCT